GCTTTTAAATCACAAGGTCTTTGTGACGTGAACTTTGGCAAGATCTAGAAGTATAATAAACAAGCATAGCGTAGACGTTGTTTATTTTAAGGAAAGAAGAAATTTGGCAGCTGGCTCCGAAAAGATGGAATTTCTGATTATTTGAACAACATTAACGGCAGGTTTTCCTCACTAAGCAAGTATATAGCAATTTCTGTTAACATGTCCTATAACAAGAGAGCTCATCATGCTGATTTGGCAGTAATAAAGTGCATTTCACATAAGTGGAACTTTGGGAAAAAAATTAAGCTGCCCCTAGTTTATTGAGAGAGCAAATGAGACAATTCCAAAATAAATTAACAAATAAAAAATTCTGGTAGTGGGAAATAGTTAATTGCTGTTTGTTTCTCCTTGTTAATTGAAGTTTATGGAAGCCATAGGCCAACTGAACGACTCTGAACATGGTCCAAGTACAGTGGTTTTGTTCTAACCTCTTTTCAATAAGAGTGGAGAACCTGGGCTCTGGCAGATGTGCCAAGAGTAGAAGAGTGCTGTATCTGTTACAGGAGCTGCAAGCCAAGCACCAAGTGAAGAGGTCACAACATACACAGTAAATATTTAAATGCGCTTTTAAACAAGTGCTTCTGATTTTAAAGCCTTTTAACATTGTATACAATATTCAGACAGGATAATGATTCTTGTGTGCTTTACTCATCTTGAAAGATTGAGTGAGAGTTCAGCTGGCTTCTATTTTATCCTGCTATGTGTCTGTTATTTGTTTCACAGGTGGCTGTTAAATCAGCTTTATGGAGAAACCAGGGCTAATATTTCTAGATTTCTGCTGGATCATTGCCTGGGGCATTATAGTAACATGGTACGTGGTGTCATGTGTGTCCACATGGGCATTGGTGGAATTTTCCATCTAGTTTCAGTGGTCACAAAGCCACATTAGAATTAATATAGTAACTGAGGTCTAACACAGCCAAAGAAAATGGAATTAGCAGCTTTGAGCAGTAGATGACAGACCATGGAAGAAAGAAAAAATTGGAAGAGTAGTTTTAGGAGATAAGTATCCAATATAGTAACTGCAAGCTATGTATTACCTAGTATTTAGAGGCTCAACAAGTTATCTATAATAAGACCCTGAAACTGTACAGTTAAAAGCATCAGGTGTTTAGCATGCAGAACTGAATTTTCCATCTTAAAATCACCTTAGCATTTTTTAAGCTAGAAGAGACCACTACTGTCTTGTTCACTCCTTTTGTTTCATCAAAGGATACTCAGCCTAATATCTAATGTTTAACTTAATTTTCCACATCAGTTTTTCTTTATCAGTCAGGCCAGCCTGATAATTCCCAGTTTATTGTCATTAGAGGCGAGATAAAAAAATAATACAACTGATGTGTCCTATATATACTGACTTTTAGTGACGCACCCTGTTGCTCAAAAGCTTTTCTCTGTGCAGGCCTTTGTATGAAAATTACCTTCTATAATGCTAGATTGTTTTAAGCTTCATGTTTTAGTTTTAAAAGCAAAAGAATAAAGTAGTGGTGGAGCCCAGCTGGCAGACCTGCATAGCAATGTGCAAGCCTTTCCCCTTTAGACATACTAGAATTTAAATTTGCACTTAAAGCATAAGTCAGTATGAATTTAAACCTATCCAAGAATTCTTATGCACATCACAAAACCACCCCACAAATTGGTACAGTACTTTTCATTTGGCAGTCGCTCCCCTAGAGACATCCAAGACAGAAATAGCAAGTATACTGCAGGCCAGATATACGCTAGCAAAGCTGCCTATGGTAGAAAACTTGTTCAGCACCTGCCTGCTTGTGATTTGCCTGGCTGCCCTTGCTTGTATTAGAGTATCACGTCTACAATGACTGAAGTTGTCCACAATATTGAGAATAATGGTGATTCTTGTTTTATTGTTTAACCTGAGCTAAACTTTTAACTGTAATTTAAAGTGAGCAAGAAGATAGAAAAGCACAGCAGAATCACAGTTTTCAGAAACTTGTAATTTCTTGGGACACAAACTTGGAATTGGCTGTTCCTAGGAGAGCTCTTGTTCCTCTTCCCCACTATGCAAAGTTCTGTTGGGATGACAGTGCTTGGTGTAGGTGTGAAGATCGCAGAATTTAACAACTCATGTTTTCTTCAGTACTTAAAACCTGAAATAATTCTTAATCAGCCTTTTCTGCTTGCCCAAGTTAATGGCTGATGGTAATCCCATTGAATTTCAAGTGAGCTATAATGTTAGGAATAAATGTGGATTGTTAAGTAAAACTGAAAATTGGAAAGTAGGTCAGGATGACCTTAAATCCTCCCAGGACCACCTGGTCAGAGCTGGAAGGCAGATCTTTGTAGTCTCATGAAAGAAATCTTCAATCCCAATTTCTTTTTGAGACACCTAAAGAAATAGGCTCCTTGTGCAACATGAAAGCATGTTCCTTCATGTGAAATATCTAAAATTGTGCCTGCAATGATTGCTATGTCAGTGGTACTGCAGAGAATACGGACAAGAAAGAGGTTTTTACCTAGTGAGTTGTTGCTGAGCATTAACCTCTAATCAAATACTGCCTGGGTAATTGATGAGATGGCAGAAAGTCTTCTTTTATATGTATACTGTCTTCAACAGACTGGTATGGTTTACCTTGAGAGCTAGAAAAGCTGGCAGGAATTCCTCTTGTTGGCACCAGTGGTAACATGTTCACTAGCAAAAGTACTACGCTCCGCTCTGTAGAAGCGCTTTAAACAAGTGTAGGATATCTTAGAAGTGGAGAAGCCTGCAGACAGTGTTGATTACTGTACCATCTAAATTCCTTTACTAACCTGTGCATAGGATCCGTTGCATCAAAGTTCTAGTCCTTTAATTCTTTTAGATTTCCTATTTCTCAGCAAATCTACCCTTGAGAATATCAAAGTAATTTGATATTCTTGATCTTATTTTTCACTCTGTGTATAATTTTTAAACAGTTTATGTATGTAAGAGCGTGAAACATGATTCATTTCAGAGAAGAAAAAAATTCTTTTTAAATGGCCTCCTTTTAAACTTTCTTGAAACATAAAAATTATCATTTAAAGTAACAACCTGGGAAAGAAATGATGTGCACAGACAGAAGTAGTAAACATCCTGAGAATGCCTCTTTTTCTTCCTGTGTAAGTCAAAACTGGTTCATGCTCAGTCCACAACAATCTTGTAATAAAAAAAACAAGTAGCAGCTTTAGTGCACTATGTCTAACTCCATGCTGTTCCCTGGAAGTGAACTGCATTTTACCTATGAAAGGCCTTGCTTTCCACAGGATAAATTTGATCCAATTGTGTTAATCTGCATAGTCTGTCTGCTCCAATTAGACCAGGGGCTTAATGTCAGTGATAAGCAGAGTTAGTGCTTGTTATCTTACTTGAGAATTACTACAGTAGTAGCCTGTTCCAGCAAGACTAAAAGATTTTAGCTATAATTACTTCATGGAAGGCTGTCATTTCTAAAGAGATACTGTTACACAGCTGGGGGAATACTCCCTGCAGCTGGATGCTCACGAGGCTGCTCTGGTTACCTCCTGCCATACAGCCTCTGGGTGTTTTATGATTCCCGTTGTTGAAAAGGAGGGAAGACGAGCACTGATTCCTCTAGTGCGCTCACAGGTCACAGGCTGGCTGTTCATTTTCAACAAAATGGGACCTCTTTGCCCAGCTGCCATAATCTTCTTGAGCCAGCGCTGATCTCTGTGCCCAGCCTCTGCTCCTGAGGTGGAAAAAGTTGCCCCTTGTGAGCGAGCTCTTTGAGTTGAAAATTCAGATTCTCCAAGTTGTCAGGGTCACAAAAGCAATGGCTTTCTATTTTAGTCACACAAGAAGTGTATGTTTTAAAACAAAATAATAGATGTGTGTGCATATTTATTGTTTGTTGTATTTGGTTTTTTTTTTGTTTATTTTTGGGATGGTATTTGTTTGTTGATTGGATGTTTGATTTTAAGGGTTTTTTTTTGCTTGCTGTCAGTCACCTGCAGAACCCAGGGATCCCTCCTCTATATGTGTTTTCCTTTCTGAATCGTGATCTGTCTTCTAATATGCAGTGATTTTCTCAATTTTGCCTCTGGTCTGCTCTCTCGTTTTCTTCAGCAGGTGATTGGGAGCTCGCCTTCATAATTTTTAGCTTGTTTTATTAAGTGAACTTCTGTGCGAGCAAAAGTCAATGAAATGTGCTGGTGACTTTGCAGGAAATGGGATTGCAGTCTTGCAGATAGAGGTATATAGTATATATGTGTAGAGATGCACGGTATTTTGTAGTTAAATGTCTTTTGAGTTATGAACTACAAAACTTGTCATTTCAGTTCATATTGTCTTTTATGTCACTGCATTAGGTTAATGACTCGTTTGCTTTATCCTCAGATTCATGTACTTTTTATTTTCTGTTTCAGTAGAAGTATTGGTGGGAACTTTGTACTAGGTAACTGACTTCTTGCAATAGAAATACTTTTTCAAAAGTGGTAATAATATCCTACAGGACTTACACTTAGCTGTAGTGTGGTATGATGCGGATTTTTATAGTAAGCCTTCAAAGAATCTCCGTCTCTGATTCATGTAGATGGTTATTGTACTGCAACATTTTTCTGGCAGATGAATAATTCTTGTTTTGTTTTCTTGGTTACAAAGGGAAATGAATTCTTTTAACAGTAAATGGTTGCAAGAAGCTTATTCATGGCATGGTTTGAGACAGTACAGGGGAAAATATGTCAGTGAAGGATTTGCAGCTTTGTCTTATGTCCCACAGCATGTATGCTGTTAAGGCACTCACTGGTGAGAGAATGGTGAATACGGAGAGAGAGGGAAATAGATGAAGCATCAAGAACAAAACAGATGCAATTCCGTTTTTTTTGAGGGCCTTTTGAAGACACCTGCATTGACTGGCTCTCCCAGTTCTAGGGTAAGCTGTATTTTTTCCTCCTTTCTGATCTCTCCAATGAGACATTAAGATGTCATTTCAGGTCCTAAACTATAATGCAGGAATTTCTTCTCATTGATTAGTCTACTTTCCATTTCTGTTTCAAGATGGAACTGAGCAATTCTTTCCTTCCTGGTTCATGACTCGGAATATACCAGATGCACGTTGCTGCGCAGGTGTTTCTTCATGGTGATGCAAACAAGGTAAAAGCACCAAATGTGCCATGTGCCTGTTAGTGGCCTTTGATCATGTACATCACTAAAAGCTAACTTGAAGGGATTTTTCCTGAAGTTACTCAGATAGAATTGAGAAGTCAAGTTTAACCCATTAAGTTCAGATCCAGATGTTTGCTTACTGCAGCATTTAGAGTTTGAGAATTTGTATCTTTCTAAAGTAAAAGAAAGGCTCTGTGGTTGCATGAATTGTTACCATTCTGCTCAATAATTTTCTATTTTAGTGAGTCAGGTAGACATCCACTGCTGGCTGGCTGGTGTAGTGGACCCGAAATGGGAGGTTGCCCTCATGGTGATGCTTCCTGTTCCTTTGCTTGGGTAAGGAGATGTGGTCACTCTGAGTAGGTGGCAGCTATTCCTTTTCTGTAAAGAAAAAAACTCTTGCTGTGGGGTACTTTCTTTTTTTTCCATGCAGAACTTGCATGGTTTCTTAAAATTAAACCCAAAAGATCTATTGTGGATATGTTCTAAATAACACGTTTGACTCTGACATTGGGAAAGACAAAACAAAGGACATGAAGGGTGCAAGGTGCAAGGTTGTGCAGCCATGTATGTGATAGCCTCTCCAAAACTTTCATTTTAGACAGAAATTTAGGGAGAAGTAGGACAAAGATAAGGAAATGTCAAGCCTTGAGAGTCTAACCTCTTTGACTGCTCTGAAGTACTATGTAGGAAAATAAGGTGGTTGGAAATAGAAGTCAGGAACTCAAGAGTACTGAGAACACAGGAAAGCAGATAAGCAAAAACATTGGCAAGAAAAGCTTGGAAGTATCAGCTTATCAGCTGTTGAGAAAACAGGCAATATCTTGGGGAATTATTTAGGAATCATCCCAAAGTGGATGAGCTAGGAAAAATAATGTATGCTAGGAAGCATAGTAAATATAACTCATCAAAGTGTGAGAAGGTATCTGCCTATAAAAGCCACAGTTAAAAAAATTTATGCCTATACTGAACATAAATGTGCAGTTGCATACTAGGAAGCAGTAACTGCTGAGCTCCTTTGAGGACTTGGCCTCTGAATACAGATATTATGGTTATTTTTGCAGCTTGTAAGAGTGCATTAAGGCTATTTCCAGTGCCGGAACTGAGGAAGGCAGAATGTGTTAGAGATTTGATATATATATAAATAAAAGTGTGTGTGTATGTGTGTGTATAGAGAATAGATTTCACTACTTTCCAGTGTGGTCCATAAGCTACTTGTATCTGCAGTGAGAGCAGGAGTATTTACTGAGGCTCTAACTCAGTTGCACATCAATCCAACTGGTTCAGCTGGCTTCCAATCTTGAACTAGTTGTGTCAAAATGAAAACGCGGGGGGGGAGAACACCAGTAATAAGCATCAGCTGTAAAAACATATCTTACACAAGTATTGCATGTTAAATACAAGAGGAAACCTTCATGTTTAATGTGTCAGCTAGGCTGCATATCTAACCTGGGCGCTACACAGCAGGAAAGATGTGCATCAGATGGACAGAGACCAGAGGCAACCAATAAGGATGATAGAAGAAAACACAAGCTATGAAAGCAACCTGAAAGAATTTGGTTTGTTTAGTCTAGAGGTTAAGTAAAGAAGGCTGAGAAGATGTAGGCAAAAGGCTGCTGTTTGGAGGAAGAGAATAATCTGGTTTTTCATGTCCACTGGGGACAGGACAAGAACTGATGAGTTTAAATTAAAGCAAAGGAGATTAGAAATTAGATAGGATGGGAAACATTATAATTGAAAGGATAATTAGTCATTGGAATAGATTGCTTAGGGCTGCTATGGAATCACTTCACCTTTGCAAGGGCAGGCTTGACAAACATCTGCCAGGAGTGCCATAGGCATTGATGCCTGTGCCTGGGAGTAGTAAGGTGAACTCAAGGACTACTTGAGCACCCTCCTGTTCTATTTTCTGTGCTATGCAGTTATTATTTTCGTTTTCACATGGCTGCTTTCTGGGACTCTTTGCCAGAAACACTCAGTTAAAATGTTTATTTGATGCCCACTTCAATTGACCGGCAGGAAAACAAATATAATGTATGTTTTTGTGACAGAAGAAAATTTAGCCTGAAACAGGTTTTGCTCAAAGACCAGATTAAGGGCTACACAACTTTTACAACATCTGTTTCATTGTGGCATACAGGAAACAGCTTCTATTACACTTTATCAGCAAAAATTCACATCCCAAAGTGACAAGGAAAGCTTAAAAGAAAAAACAGCTGTTGAGGAGTCTCTAGTGAGTATGCCATGGGCCTCAGCAGAATAAAACTTAGTGGGAAGGGAAAGCAAACCATCTCTTCATCCAGCTTTGAGAAAAATTTACATGGTCACATATTAGCAAATGGGATTTACTCATCAGCTTACAAAACTGTTACTCACAGCATTGCATTGCATGTTGCTGTCAGCTGTCTCAGTGACCCTAACGCAGGTAGTGCGTTCCCCAAGGCTCCAATGCTCTTGGCTGCCTTTAATGTAACTATGTGTTATCTGGACTGATGAAGCTGGGTAGTATTTCCTGCTGCATAATTAATTTCTGTTGAATAAAATCAAATGGTGACTATGTTTGGTTCTGTAATTGTACGTGTTTCATCAGAGCACTAGAGCTACAAGAAGGGAAAAGAGAGAGGTTTGAGGTATGGTCCACGAGTACAAACTCTCTGAAATGCTGGTGCTCAAATACCGAGCGTTAGGCCTGTAGTACTAATTAAGTTTTGTGTGTGTTACATTTTTCTTTTGAAAAGGATTTTTGTTTGGGTGGTTTTGCCTGCATTCAGATCAAAAAGGATATATTTAACGGGACTACTGCTTTTAGTGAAAAGACAAAATAATCTTTCTCACAGGTTTGAGGTTTTTTTGTGTGTCAGATCTTGGGCTAGCCTTTGACTTTGCACTGGGAAGTAACAGATTTATTGCACTAAATAATGTGATGTTAAAGCATCCTAGTTTCTTAAGTGTCTTTTCAGGAAACACAATGAAAAAAATGTGATCATTATTTAAAAACAAAGCTGGAACTCTTGCTACAAGCAAGACATTTATCTAGCTATCTAGAGGGATATTAGAAAGAGGACTGTGTCACAATGTCCACTTCACTCCTCTGAGTTCCTTGTTTTATCTGTGGTTTAAACCTTTTACTGAATAAGAATCTGAACCGAGTAATATTCTTTTGAGACAATAACTTATTCTAAAAGCACAGATGTTTAAAAAAAAAAAAAGAAAAGCAGACACGCCAAAATCTAAACATTCCCCAAACTCAAACGCCTTCCCCCACCCCCAAGTTATATTAATAAATATGGCTACAAACCTGTATCGCAGAAAAGCCTGAAATACCCAAACTTGGTGAGGTGTCTGTGTGCATAGCTGTTAATGAGCTAAGTGAGCTGAAAAGTAAACAGGATGTGCCTCATTTCTCTTGAGGAGCTTTTTTGCACAGGATCCTGGAATTTGCCTTCAGGTGAAATGTCAGGGATTGTACTTTCCCTTGGGAGAGCCACTTCTAATTAAGCAGTATACAGTCAAACTTTTTGCTCTGCCTTTATTGAGAAACACTTGAATTTCCAATTTCATCATTGAACTGATGCTGTTAATATTGGCAGTTGCACATTACCTGCATGTATCTGAGCATTAGTGTGATGTAGAAATGACTGTAAATATGGTGTCCACAAAATCAGCTAGGTGGAGTGAGCAGTAGGTGATCCTCATGACATTGGCTTTATTTTCAATTTAGACATGGCACAAATAATGAAAACTTGTTAATTACTATTTACTATTGTATTACTAATTACTATTACTATATTACTTGTTAATTACTATTTAATTATGTTAATTACTATTACTAACTACATAATACTATGGTGGTGGATATTCTTTTTTAACCCCATGAGGTAAATGGCACACTTAAAACAATGAAAGCTATTCTAATGTGACACTATTGAGAAATATAACCAAACAACACATACCTTAGTTTTTTGCAAGTTGAAGAAATTCCTTTAATTAAATGAGTTGTAACATCTTAACCTGAATTTTATACTGAATATTTTCCTAAACATTTCTGGAGTTAATGTTGACACTGTGGTATAGAGCTATGAGGCGCATTTGTATAATTACGCATGTTGGGAAATGAACTTAGGACCGTGCAAAAATGCAACATTTGGATCTCCTATACATGTTTGTGCATCTGGATTCCAAGAACATTCAACAGCCAGGTTTTAAGTGCATTGGGGGTAAAAAAAAAAGTCAGACTCAAATTGAGGTGTATACATCTGGGTTTGAATTTTTAGTTCTCTTTAATGCATTTTGGTTAAGCTGAGCTTTTATGGTAAAGAACAGGTTTAGTACCCATAGTTATACATTTATTGTGTAATGAGTCTGATGTACTCGGAGCACGTATTTTGGAAGAAGCCTGTGAGATACTGTACAGCAGCTGTGATTGCATATAAGCCTTTTCAAACGCAACGTTGCAGTCGGGCAAAGTGCATGGAATTGATGTTAAAGTGAGATTTACTGATTCATGGGTTGCCTCTTAACCTTGTCCTCAGTGGTATGTTTGAGGCAATGATTCACTCTAACAGTGTTATTTTCCAGAGACCTGTTTGAAACTCATCCTGCAGTTGGTACCTGAGTGGGTTTGCATTCCTTCAGTTTATCAAGCAGCTCAAATAAATCCCCAGATTCTAACGTGTAAATTATTCAGACACATAAAATTTCAGCCTTTTTTTTTTTACTCAAAGTTGGCAATTTTTTCATAAACAGTACAAGTAGTCTGATGTATTTACTTGAATGAGAAAACTTCTGATCAGTTTTGATTTCAGAATTTTGTTTTACTAATGAACGTTTTGCTTATACATTGAGCTATCAATTAGATCTGATTATCATTGTGAATATGAAACTGAAATCATCTAGTAGTATTTGACTGGCCTGCTTCTGAGATACATTAAAAGGTTGTGATTTCAAAACCAGCTGAGATCTGTTTCTGAAAATGAGATTTATGTGGAACCTCAGATGTTAATTATTAGTATTAAATGTTTGCTACTAAGAAATAACATATTGCTGAATTCAAATGCGAAAGCAGGGAGACTGCTTTCTATTGTAATTAGTTAAAAAATCTTGATCTTGATCGTAAGAAATTCTCCTTGAGAAATTCTCCTGTAATTACAACTGATTAGGCATATTGGGTGACGGCATATTTCTGTCTTTAGCAATTAGGTAGTGGCCATGAGATAGCACATAAAACTGCAGATCATTACCTTGAAATGTAAAGTATGTCAACCCTCTGCCAGGCTTGCAGTCTTCCATAAGGATATTCAATATCCTTATTATTATTTTATTTAGCAATCTGGATG